GGCGGGGCGGCGCCGGGCCTGGGGGCTGCCCCGACGGCGGGGTCCCCCGGGAGTCCCAGCCAGCCCTGGCCTGCGGCTCTGCGGGCGCATCCCGGGACCATGGTGGGCCAGCTGCTCAGGAGTGGCCTGGGGATGGGCCGGGAAATCCCGGACTCTGGAAATCCCAAACCGAGGCCTTAGTTTTCTCATCTGTAAAAAGGGAGGAGGGAAACATCTCGCTGGAGATGTTTTCCAACTCTGGCGGGTCATCTTTTGAGTCTTCAGATTTAAAAATGTAAGAGGTGTGTGTGTGTGTGTGTGTGTGTGTGTGTGTTTATGTGGGTTGAGGGGGCCACAGCTATGACCTCAGAGGCAAAGCCACAAGGAGGGAAAGGACTGGGGATTCCAGAGAAGACAAGCTCACCACCGCGGCGCCCTCACCTCCCTCCTTCCAGTACTTTCACCATCTAAACCCACCCAGCGGGAGCAGGAAAGAACCTGGGCAGTTATAGGTCTCAACCCTTCCCCCTTCGGCAATTTTGCAGGTAAGATATGGAAGTCCAGAGAGGGGAAGGGTCTTGCCTAGGGCTACCCAGAGGGTACATGGCCTAGTCAGCAGGCAGGGATTCATCAGCCATGCTGTCTGTCCATTTGCCCCGGCCCAGTCCCACCTGAGGTTAGTCCTACTTCAGGAAGGTCCAGGGAGGGGCTGTCTTCTGTCTTGAACCCTCATAACTGCCTACTGGCCTTGTCATAGCAGAGAGCATCCCCCCAGAGCCCTAGCCTGGGCCACAACCCTCCTCCCATGGCCTGCCCCTCCCCAGGCCCAGGGGTTGGGTAAGGCAGGACTGGAAGCTTTCCATCCCCTTTGCCCAACTTCCCTCTCCTCTGGGCCTCCCCTCTGCCTGGCAGCTGGTATTGGCAGCACCGAAGGAGGGGCTAGCCTGGCTGCCCACTCACACCCAGCTGGGCCAAGACTGTGTGTCCTGGGGGAATCATTCTCATCTGCCTCCCTCCTGGCCAAGCCCTTCTTGGATCTGTTCTTTTCTCTCCATTTCCCACTTATACTCTCTCTTCTTGCCCCTTACTACCTCTTCCAGTTTCTTTTAACTTCAGAGAAAAATAAGTTCAAAGCTGCAGAAGCCAGAATGTCTGGGTTCTCCCCGCCTTCCATGTGTGGTCACTGTGTCTTAGTTGGCAGGATCACGAGGAAAGGAATTGAAAACCGTAAAAGGGTGAGTGGAGGACTTGGGGGAACCTGGCTTCCCAGATGTTCTGAGGGAGTGCTAGGGAGGAGGAAGCACAGCTTCTCTCCTTTCCCTTCTTCCCCGGCTCTGTGCAATGGAATTGGCAGGGGAGAGCCAGACACACGGGGAGGGGACCTCTGGAATGAGTCATTTGTCAGAGCTGCAAGTGTCCATAGGATGATTTTACAAACATGGAAATAAAATGCCAGAGAGAGGAAGTGACTTGGTCAGTGCCACACAGCTTGGCAGTGGAAGACTCAAAGCCACTGTCACATGGTGGGTGGGCCCCACTTGGCACCTGTGCCCTCCTGCCTTTCGCTCCACACATGTGTGGAAGTTGATTTGACCAGAGCCGATTCCTTTCTTTTCCAAGGCATCTGAACAAGGCCTGGAGGGGAGAGGACCACCCTTGCAGCGTACTTACATCTGGGCACCTGGAAGAGGGTGATGTGGGGCTGCCTGCTCAAGACTCAGGGCCCTGCCTGCCCACTTCCAGGCAGTTGCCTCTCCAGACTCCTCCCCTGGGGCCTGCAGGGGCCTGCTGCTCTAGCTGGCAGTCCCACCCACCAAACATCTGGCTGGGTTGGACTTAGCTAGGGTGTGGGTAGTCCTGGGTCCTAAAAAGCTTGCATTGAGATGCCAGTGAACAAAAATGGAAGGGCTGGCCTAAAAGGGTATCTGTCAGTGTCTTCAGAACCCTCGTGTCCCCTTCACTCCCCACCTGGGTCATGGCTGTTCCCCTGGCTGACCTCTGGCTCGCTCCTATTTGGTCTCTGTCTGTGAGGTCTTGAATCCTCATGTCTTCGTCATTGCATGGTTCCTTTGGTTCTTTCTCTCTTTCTAGGTCTCTGGTTATGTTTGATTCTGACTGGGTTTCTTTATGCTTCTGCTCTTGCTTTGAGATAGAGGAGCTTTCCCTGGATGGGCAAAGGCCGCTCAAGTCAGTAGAGGAGGGAAGGGTGTCAGAGTTGGGTTGGGGGCAGAGGTGAATGTGGTCATGGCTCCGGATAACACAACTACCCGGAAATGTCAAATTTGGGGTTTCTTTTTGCTTTCAGTCCCCTGGTTTGGTCTCTGCTATTTCCCACCACAAAGCACCCTGGTGGTTTTAGGGGACCAGGCTAGAGAGGAGAAAACTGAGACCTAGGGGATGGGGTTCAGAAAGAGTAGAAACCACCTAGGGTCTAGACTAAGCTGTAGTACTTGCCCCTAAATCCCTTTACTCCCAATTCCAAATCATGGTGCAAGGTGAGAAGGAAAAAAGGATTTTAAAAAATCTTACAGGAATACATTCCCCAAAAGAAGACTGGCCATATTTTATTAGGAATAATTATCCACAGCCTAGTCTGTAGTTAGCACACTATATATGAGGGGACTTAAAAAGTGGAATTAAAGTACAAGTTTATTTTGGTGCAAAAAAAAGAAATGGAAATCCATGCATAATTTTTTCATTAATATGCATTTCTCATGAACTTTATGAGGAACACCTCATACATATCCTAAAGGGAATTGTGGCACATTTGTACACAAATGTGGTTATATGCCCTTGAACTCAACTAATCCTTGCAATAACCTTGCAGGCAGCAGGACCAGAATCATCTCTTCTGCTTAGTCCAGGAAAGAAACCTGCCCAAGCTGTCCAACCACTAAGAACTCAGCTGGCACCAGGGTCTGAGTTGTCTGGGGCCCTGTGGGCTGGGTCTCAGTACAACTTTTCTAGACTTCCTCCAACCCTAGCACACACTTGCAGAGTGAAGAGGTCTCCTTTGACTGGGTTAGCCCATAATTGTTCTGTGGTGTGGAGCCTGGCATCTCCCAGCTCACGCCAGCTCATGCCTCCATTCTATTGAATGAGGCGATATGACCTGTGTGTTACATGAAGGTGAGTTTGCATTTGTGGAGGAAGAGAAGAATGATCCCAAGTCCCCTTCCTTCCCCTCCCTTGAAGACCAGGTTAGCAGAGAAGACCCTGCTGATGCTTCTACCCTGGGAAGAATAGATTGAGGTCACCTTGACCTGAACGTCCCTGGGGGGGGGTGGAGGGAGGAGATACAGAGATGCCTTTGTTTCCTCTGCTCCAAGTCCCTTCTTCAAGGAGAGTTCCTGTTGCATGGGAGCCAGAGGGAAGGTGGGGTGGGGGTGAAGGGCCTTCTCAAGAAACCTGGCGGTGTTCCAGAAAGTATCTCTGCGTCCATCAGTAGAGAAGGGAGAGCCGAAGCCTTGGGGCTCTCAAACATCCTCCTCTGCCCTCTGTCCTTCAGTTCTCTCATCCTGGTACCTCCCTCTAGACATGCTGCCCCCACTCTTGTTCCTGAAGACAGAGTAGGGCCTAGGGAGAGTGAGTGTGTGCATGGTGAGGATACCGTGTGAATCTGGGGCAGGAGAAGGAGCTGCTGGGTTGGAGCAAAGTCCATTCCTACCTCTGTCCCCCACACTCTTCAGGGAAGTCAGTTTACAGTGAAGTCACCAAGAGAACACAAGGCCATCCCGCCTGAGGCATAGTGACTGTCCTGGGTTTCTGAGAATAGAAGGAGAGGAGGTGTGTGGGACTGAACAGGGTGGGTGGGAGGGGCCCAGCTGCCATGCCTACCTGCCTTGGGGGAGAGATTTTCCCCAGACAAAGGGAGGAGGGATGCAGGGCAGTGCTATGGGCATGTTTCCTAAATAGTCAGATGGGCAGAACATGCACCCTTTGTACATCCTCCTCACTGCAGGGGCCGACCCAGGACCCTGGGGAGGGAAAGGAGAGGGGGACAGCTGAGCTGGATTGGCCGGAGTCCTGAGCAGTGCTGGGTCCGGCCTGGCTTCTCATCCGCACCCA